CACCCCTCAGACCTCACTGACCTCATCTCTCACCATTCTTCATTGATTTGGGTTTTAAATCAAGTGTTTCCTAATCATAGCCTGTCACAGCCCAGTACATGCCTGAGAGAGCGTTACCGTGCATCTACCTGTGTTTCATGTAGAGGTGAGCATGCAGCGGGTACTCAGGAAATAAATTCTTGCTTGAACAGCCAACTTTCTCACCAAAGCAATACCCACCAGCAATGTTTTAAAGTATTGAATTTAGCTAAAGCCACCATAGACTTTCCCATAGGAGGTGAGAAAGGGAGTAACTGCCTAATGAATACTTGGTGGGGTGTTTTTTAGTTTTTTTTCTTGGGGGGGAGGGTATAAAGATGTTCTGGAATAGATAAGAATGGTTTTACAGCATCGGGAATGTACAAGATACCACTGAATTGTACACTTTAAAAGGGTTAAAATGGCAAATTTTATGTCCTATATATTTTTCCATAATAAAAAAGTACTTGAATAAAAAATAAAAATAAGAGCCCCTTATCCCTCTGTTCCTTCAGCACAGTTCGGGGTGCATTGTAGAATCAGGCCGCCGGGATACAGATGTGTCTGGGATTAGGGGTTGCAGACAGACATGGCGCAGATAGATGCTTCCTGTTTGACACCGCAATCTGTGTAATCCTCAAAACACTGGCAGGTTGCTATTCTTTGCTCCTACTTTATACAGGAGCAAACTAAGAATCACAGAGGCAGGGGACTTGCCCGAAGTCACAGAGCTAAGTGGTGGATGAGGATGTGAGTCCGAGTCGGTCTCCTGCAGGACCGTCCTGCTTCCAGGTGCTTCCTCTGAGCTTCAGGCCTGGTGCTCACCAGCTACTTTAAGAATAGCCTAGCTAGAGACTGAAGAACCATGGACGTGGATGGCAAAGGAGACATCGCCAAGGACAATGCCTCCCCTGCCTCCTTTGGTGGAGGGCCCTGCCTTCTCTCTTCCCCAGGCGCCAGACATCCAGCCCCCGCCCTGCTCCCTCCTCAGCACTGCCAGCATGCAGAGCTGATTGCTATAATGTGATTAGCTGGATGCTCTCTGCTGGATGCTTGTAGTAGCGCCCAACCTTCTTGCTAAGCAGTCATTTCAGGAACCTGTGACTTTGGAATGACATTCTTTATGCTGGTGTTTATTTTTGAAAGTATATAAAATCAATCCAAACCTCACAGCCTCTGCTTTTTGTGCATAGCTGAAATGTGTTGAAATATTTAAGGATGATTACTGAGTATTTTCCCCTTGTGTACAAAGGTATTTGGTCTAACGAGGCCATTCTTTAACCTGGTGGGGAGGAGTGTTAGAATGAGAAGCCTTTGGTTCAGGGAATTTATCAGTCTCCATCTTTGGGGTCAAGTCCACATGTAACCCTGCAAGCATCAAGTTCAAAGACAGATTATGGGTTGGTAGAAAACGCAAAAATATGTCACCGGTGTCCTTCCTCCAAACACTAAGGCATAAGCCACGATCTGCATGTCGTTTAGTTGGTATCAGTACAAAGACACTTCAGAGAGAGGAATCCAAAGGTTCAATCCTGCCTCTGGGGTCAATGGCGATAGGAAAAGCATCCCACTCATGTAGGGGAAAGGGAGGCATGGGGTGCATATTATAGGCTCTTTCTTTGGGCTCCAGATCTCATGTTCTTCTTTTCTAAGCTTCTCTGTTCATTCATTCATTCCGGCATTCATGCATTCATTCATTCATAAAATGTGTATGGAGAATCCGATATCTCCAGGCCCTGTTTTAGTGATTATAGATAGAAATAAGATTTATAGCAGTCAGTATAAGTTAATTTATTTTGCACTAACAAACAACCCTAATGTCTCAGTGGCTTAGAGTTTCTCATGCTATGCACTTAACATGCTTCATGTGTTACTGGGATAACTGTGCAGATACAGTGAGGAAATGTGGCAGCATATTTGAGGAAAAAGATAATAAGCAGAGTGTGAGACAAGTACCCCCAGAGGGCTGGTACTTCTTCATCTGTCCAGGCATCCGAGTGCTTAGTAAATGTTTCTTAACCAAGTGAATGAATTAACTGCAAACTATTCAAAATGGTCGGGTCCCTTGTCAGAACAGAACAGTACTTCCATTTTCCAAATGCCTTCAATAAATTATAACTCACCAAATTAAAATAAACGTTTGTTTTAACTTCCACTAACCAAATCTCTGGAGGATTTGACACCTTTTCATCTTCAAAGTGCTTCAAAACAAGCACTGGCTTCCCCCCAGGCCCCTCTTTGGAAGCTGTGCACTGTAAACAGATATAGAAATGTATTAACATTCAGAAGCGAAGACGCCTCGGGCCAGGTTTGAAGAGAACCTTCTCTAGGAAAAGCAAACTGCTTCTTTGATTTTTTTTTTGAGTGCCGTCCATGTGCCAAGTGTTGTGTTAGGGGCTTTCACTGTCTCTTACCTTTTTTTCTCAATGTTCCTGTGAGGTAGGTACTCTCATTTTGACTTTAGAGATAAGAAAACTGGCCCGAGAGATAAAGTGATTTGCCCAAAGACACAGAGCTGGTGAGAGGGCAAACCAAGAACCATCTTTTAAGTTCTTCTAACTCCAGAAGCACTGACCTTTCCTGTGTCACCATTGTTTCTCAACTTCTGCTTGCACATTAGCTCTATTCGGCACACACAGGTGTAAATTCTGGGGCTCCATTCCAGACTTACCAGATGAAACTTTGGAGAGAGATGTTTGGGCATCTGCATGTTATTTTTTAAAATATGTATTTATTGATTTTTTTTTTTTAGAGAGAGAGGAAGGAAGAGAGAGATAGAAATATCGATCAGCTGCCTCCTGCACGACCCCTACAGGGGATCAAGCCTGCAGCCCCGGCATGTGCTCTGACTGGGAATTGAACCAGTGACTACTTGGTGCATGGAGCAACACTCAGTCCACTGAGCCACACTGGCCAGGCAGCATCTGCATTTTAAATAAACTTCCCAGGTGCTTCTTATGCACACTAAGATTTGATAACCTACACTTTATATCCTTAATGGGTTCCTGAAACAGAGAGAGAATTCTGTCTAAAGGGCCGAGAGAAAAAATAAAGGGGGGATAAGTAGGCCTTAAACATTGTGTGCCTTCCCCCGAACGTGGCAGATTCGACCTTCTGTACACTAAGTGTGACAGCATCTTCCCCCCTCCCTGCCTGTCCAGGTTGTGCTGGCAGAGATGGAAAGCTTCCTCTATTCCCCTGCTTTTCATGGCAAGCTTGGGCGATGTTTTCTCTCCACTCCATATGGATTTTGCAATTAACTCACTAGAAAAGTAAATCACAGGGTGCCTGGAATAATAAGTGCAGTGAACACCCAGCCTCAGCCAAGCTGACTGGGACTGCATCCAGAGCGTGGCTAAGGTTGCTGGGCTGGTGCAGGGAGGAGGCAGGAGGCCAGAGGCTGGCGGCTCCTGGATGCCGGACAAAGACAATAGATGAAGAAGGAGAGAGGACTACTGGTTGAGATTGAGCACCTTCTCTATATGTTTAGCATAATGCTCAGTGTTTTACATTTTTTATATCACCAATTCCATACAACTCTTTTCGGTCAGTATTATTGTTCCCATTTTACAGGAAAAGATTCTGAAGACTCAGAAAGACAAAGTCACTTCCCAAGTTGCAGCTTCTCCAAGAAGCCTTATTTCCTCCTCATTTGCTGTAATCTCTAGGGTAGGAGGAACTTCTTGCAAACAGACAACCAAAGGGCAATTGGGGACCAATGAGAAATGATCTGGAGGAACCTGACTCCTCATCTTGGAAATGGGATGGCTACTGTTACCTAGGTGTCAGGGTTATTGTGAGTACTTAAGTTGATCTCTCTTGTTGTTTTTGTTAATCCTCAATCCAAGGATATTTTTTCCATTGATTTTTAGAGAGTGGAAGGGAGGGTAGGAGGGAGAGAGAGAGAGAAACATTGATGTGAGAGAGACACATGGATTGGTTACCTCCCACACATTCCTGGCTAGGGATTGAACCTGCGACCCAGGTACCTCCCCTTGATCTGATATCAAACCTGTGGCCCTTTGGTACACAGGCCGATGCTTTAGCCACTTAGCAACACCAGCCAGGGCCTGATTCTGATCTCTTATGTGGGAGCACTCCAGACACTGTCTGCCACATAAGTAGGCACTTGAAATTATTCCCCTGTTACCTCCACATTACTCTCCTAAACCATTTCCTGTCATGGAATGGGTGATACTTCTTTCAGAGGTGAAACATCACTGGTTACACCAGGAACAGGGAGGCATTCCTGCTAGCTCACAGACTAGAGTTTATGGAATGATAGAGCAGCTGACAGGGAAATCACAAGCAGGTGCCAAACCGGCCTGGTTTGGACTGGACTTTGGATGGACTGGAGCTAATTGGGGGTGCTGGGGTCAAGGCTGGACCTCATAAGTCTTTACCTGACTTCCTTGCCTTCTAAGGGGCTCTGTGTGTTTTGGCTTCTTGCTTCTTGTTGGGGCATTTCCTGCCTCTGGTTTCAATTCCTGAGAGAAAGAATCAGATTGGCTGAGCCCATCGCCATATGTCAAGCCATAGGCGAAAGATAAGTGGGTGGAGTCAGGCAGGGCAGAGTCATGTGATGTACAGCTCAGCTGCAGAGGACGCCCATCTGCAGAAGTGGTGGGCACGCTGCCTGCCTCTGAGGAGGCCATGGGCGGGCAGGCGCAAGATCATCTCTTTGCCCTCAGTGGCCTTGTCTAAACTTTTCACTCCCGAAGAAGAAAGATTTTGTCTTCTCCATCCTTCTGTCCTCTCACACTGGGCCTGCCTTCAGTCCTCAGGAAAGGCTTACAGATTAGCAGGGAGAAAGGAGGGAGTAAAGATAAATAGAGGTCCTACTCGCTCTGCCTGGCTGTGGGCTCTTTACAGAAATGGCTCCACTGAAAATATTCGTGCCTCCGACGAGGGGGTCCTGCCCTCTGCTGGTAACAGAGTTCTTTTCTGCGAAGGAGCTCTGTCAGGGACCCAACACACTCATCCTTGTGACATCCACCTCCGAATGTGTTTCCTTTGCAAGACAAGGACTGTTTTCTCTTCTTGCCTCTGGAGCCTAAAAGTCAAGCTGGCTTCTTTTTGCTTCTCACAGCTTCCTGAGCAATGATGCTGAACTCTGAGCCAGCCGACAGCTCTGTCGGTGCATGGAAACAGAGGGCTGGGGTTCACCCTCTGTTCGGTGGCATTCACTCTGCCATCCTCACAGCTTCAAAACCCTGTGGGGGCTGTGAGGCAAGTGGGCATGACTCAGCAAAGCACCAGGAACAGACACTGGGAATCAGAAGAACACTTTGGCTCTTGCTAGGTGTGATGGTTGTTTCTTTGCCTGGCTAGAAATAGAGCAAAGAGGGCAGGACTGAAAAAGCAGGTGCAACTTTGTAAGCTAGGCTCAGGAAAGGATAGGGGCACCATTTCCCCTGGAGCTGCACTCTGAGAGGGAGAGCTTCCTGCAGATGCAAATGCTCAGAATCTGCACCGGCCTGGGCAGTACCCATTCGCCACATGTGCTTACCCAGCACGTGAAATGGAGCTAGTGCTGTCGAATGAATGAATTTTTAATTGTATGTCATTGATTTAATTTTAAATCTAAATTTAAATAACCATGAGTGGTTAGTGACTACCATATTAGATAGCATAGTTCTAGAATCAACAGTCTTTTTTCAGCTCCGTAAGGACAAGGAACATGTCTTGTTCCCATATCCCCAATGCCGACCTAGCACAGTGGCTACCATCAGGCTCAGTAATATTCAAATGAATGAATGGAGTAGACACTGGTCGTGATGAAGTGCAGACAATATAATGTAGAAGATAGAGCATAGGGTTTAGAGTTGTTCAGACCTGAATTGAATTCTGGCTCTGACATTTACTTATCTCTGTGACTATGGCAGGAGTGGGGAATGTCCGGCCCATTGGCCGTATACAGCCGGTGAAATCATTTGGTCTGGCCCTGCCAAGAGAACTGCAGGCAGGACTCGAAATTCAATAAATTGAGGGGCTCTTTTCAGAATAACATAAATGTATATTAAGTGAATTGTATTAAGTGAATGATATTATAAATATCCAAATGGCCCTTGGCAGAAAAAAGGTTCCCCACCCCTGGACTATGGGAATGTTACTGATCTCCCTAAGCCTTTCTCATCTCATCTGTGAAGTGATTACAATGCCCCTCTCATGAAGTTATGTTATGAAGAATAAATGAGTTGATGTATACAGAGTAATTAGTGCAGTGCCTGGCATTAAATAAGTAGTAGCTTCATCGAAAAGACAGAGAAAGCAAAAAATAGCCCTGCTGACAACCAGGCTGTGGTAGTCCCAACAGACAGGAACAACACTCTGTACAGGAGGTAGGCACAGCCTCTCCTGTTCAGGTCTTTGTGACCAGGCTTAGGATGTAAACAGGCTAGTATGTGACCACAAAGTACCCACACGCCCAGCTCTTCTGCCTGTCATTGCCTTTCTCGGAGTGAGTGCTGCTCATTTACCGATGGGCAGTGCTAGCCCTGCTTCCATCCTCCCACCTCTAAATAAAAATGTTCATTCTTTTCATTGTCCCTACTTCTTTTTTTAATTTAAATTCTTTATTGTTGAAAGTATTAAATATGTCTCTTCCCCCCCCCCCCCATTGACTTCTCCCCGGCTGCTCCCACCCCCCAGCACATGCCCTCACCCCCCTACTGTCTGTGTCCATTGGTTTTGCTTATATGCATGCATACACGTCCTTTGGTTGATCTCTTACCCACTCCCTTCCCACCCTCCCCTGCCTTCCCTCTGAGGTTTGACAGTCTGTTGGATGTTTCTCTGTCTCTGGATCTATTTTTGTTCATCAGTTTATGTTGTTCATTATATTCCACACATGGGTGAGATCATGTGATACTTATCCTTCTCCGACTGGCTTATTTCACTTAGCAGAATGCTCTCTAGGTCCATCCATGCTGTTGCAAATGGTAAGAGTTCTTTTTTCTTCTTTTTTTAGAGTTGAGATACAGTATAGTTTCAGGTGCACAACTCATTGTCCCTAATTCTTAAGAGTATTCAGTCCAGAACTAGCCCCTGCTTCCCCCAACTCTTCTAGAAAATCATCCCACATGAGCCCAGCCCCTATCAGTGGCCCCTCCTGAGGTGACCCCAGGATTCGACCTCCCTCTTTTCAGCAAGGTAAATGCCCTGTTTTATGACTACAGAGGTCATCCTTTTGCACTTCATCTGTGTTTCAACCCTTACTTTCCCATGGTGATGCCTGAAAGCGGAATCATCACAAAGAGCTCCTTCCTTTCCTGGCTCTTTCTCTCAGCAGGAGACTGGGCTGCCTGTGCCTAACTGCTCAGTTAAACTCCTGCACGAGCCAGGATTTGAACTTCTGGCATCTGTAGTTAGCAGCCAGAGCTCTTGGCCATCTCTGCTTCCCTGAACGTGGTTCCATTTTATTGCAGCTAGAAAAGAAAAGCAGCAGAGGGAAATAAGATAAAAGAGCAAAATGAGTTTTTGGGTGTTTTTTTTCCCTCAGCTGAGAGAGCGCAGCTGCCTGTATGTTTGGCTCAGTATCCTCCTCTCAGTTTAAAAAAAGCCTTTGACCTCACACTCTAATCGATGTTTAGATAAGGAAGGCTAGTGAGGAAAGGCAGGTGAGCAGTGAGTGTCCGGGGAAGCATCCGAGAGGAGTAACATTAGCACTGGAGTTCTGTAGATGAAGAAGGTGAGAAAGAACAGTTCAGACAGTCAGGGATGTGTCAGAGAATTCCAGAGTCCCAAGGGGGCAGTTTGCAGGGATGAGGTGGTGCGTGGGGGGTTGGAATTTGAGATACGATGAATTTGAAGCACCTGTGAGACAGTGAAGTAGGATAATGACTAAACACCTGGAGCTGAACAAGGGGGTCCTGGAGATAATGATTCAGAAATGATCATTCATTCTCTCACTCCCATATTTGTGCATTCACTCATCCAGGAAGATGCATGCAGCCCCTGCTCTCGGCAGATCCTATGGTGGATGCCGAGAGTACAATGAGGAGCCAGACATAGGTCCCAGTGATGTGGTCCCTGACTTTCTTTTCCCAGCTTTGGGCCTTGCAGGACCTCTGGTTGGCATGGTCTGGCCTATGTCCCCGTTATATTTTCTTTGGAGATGCCCCTCTGAGGAAAGCATCTTTGAGTTGAGTTTGATCCCAAACACTGGTTCTTCTGCTTTGTTCCACCAGAAGAGTCATTTTCTAGTATGATGGTTCCGATTTTATTAGGAAAGAACAAAATCCTTCTGATGATTCTCATGCAGGTCAAATTCATGGAAGGTGAAGTAAAAATAGACATGAGTTGGCAAAAGTAGGTTTACAGTTGTGATACAATAATTAATAAATAATAATATAAGAATAAACTGTTTCATGCACTCACAACTGTAAGCCTACTTTTGCCAATCCCTGCATATATATATATATATATATATATATATATATATATCCTATATCATAAAAGGCTAAAATGCAAATTGTCCCCTCGACCAGGAGTTTGACTGGGAGTTTGACCAGGGGGCGGGGCTGGCCAGCCAACGCTCATGGCCCCTCACCCTGGCCAGCCTCACCGCCGGTTGCCCCCCCACCCCGATCTAAGCTAGCCAGTGGGACCCCACCCATGCACAAATATGTGCACCAGGCCTCTAATATATATATAGTCATGGAGAAAAGTTACATCAGCAAAGAACATTTGAGACATGTTTGTCAGTTAAGGAAGGGTTTCTCCTAAAAGGTTTGTATTAAGCTATTCTCT